GTCAGATACAATGACAAACCCACCAGGATGAGTCAAGTTCAAATTACTGACAATATCTAGTGATAGTGAGGATGTTAGAAATTAGAACTCTCATACATTGCAGGTTGTAACGTAATGTAAATATATTTTGGAAAACAGTTGGTCAATTTCTCATAAAGTTAAACATACACTTGACCCAACATTTCTACTCCTAGGCGTTTACCCAAGAGAAATAAAAACTTCTTCATAGAAAGATTTGCATGCATAGCTATATACTTATACACATATATGTGAAAAATGTGATACTGCAATGCAGGGAGGAAAGGATGGCCTTTACAACAAATGGTGCTGGAGTAATTGAATATCTGTAAAGGAGAAAGATGAATTATAACTCACACCATAAACCAAAATCACTTCCAGAAGGATTATAGATCTAAACATAAAAGGTAAAAAACAAAAGCTTTTTGGAAATAACATAGATGGCTATCTTTATATATTTGGCCAAGTTAAAACAAAATACAAAAAGTACTAATTATAAAAGAGCAAATAGACAAATTGACTAATTTAAATTTACTATCTGTTCTTCATCAAAATATATCATTTATATCATTTAGATAGTGAATAGGCAACTCGTAAGGTAGAAGATTGTATCTATCTGTCTACCTATCTATCTACCTATCCATCTTCCACAAAGAAATCAAATCCAGAATACATAAAAGATTCTTCCAATCAATAAGAAAAAAGGAGGAAAATGCTATAGAAAAATAAGCATGGGGCCAGCCTGGTGGTGTAGCGGTTAAGTGCACGCGTTCTGCTCTGGCGGCCCAGGGTTCGCAGGTTAGGATCCTGGGCGCGCACCAACGCACCGCCTGCCAAGCCATGCTGTGGTGACATCCCATATAAAGTAAAGGAAGAAGGGCACAGATGTTAGCCCAGGGCCAATCTTCCTCAGCAAAAAAGAGGAGGATTGGCATCAGATGTTAGCTCAGGGCTAATCTTCCTCACAAAAAAAAAAAGAAAAGAAAAAGAAAAAAGAAAAATAAGCAAAAGGTTTGTATAGCTACTTTGCCAAAGATTTCCAAATGAACAATAAACATATTAAAAGGTGTTTAAATTTAGTTAATATCAAAGAAATACAAATTAAAACCACCATGAGTTACCATACACACCCACTGCATGGCTAAAATTTAAAAGACCAACAATCTGAGTCTTGCTGAGGATGTGGAGCAACTACAACCCTCTTATACTACAAATGGGGATGTATATCGGTATAAGCCCTCTAGAGCGCCACTGGGTAGGATCTGTTAATGTGTTCCCTATGACCCAGCATTTCCATTCTTAGGTATGTCCTCCAAAGAGCTGCACATATAGGCTTATCAAAAGATTATTTACAAGAATATCCATAGCAGCCCTATTCATAATAGTCCAAAACTGGAAAAAAACTAAATGCTCATCTACATTATAACAGGTTAAAAATTGTGGTGTATTTACATAGTAGAATTCTAAACAGAATCAGAATAAATAAACCAAATACACAGTAAACACTGATGAATCTCACAAACAACATGGTGAGCAAAATATCCGACAAAACTGATAAATTGGTCTACATTAAATTTACGAATTTCTGTTGCACAAAAGAGAACCTAGTTGCACTCGATGAAGGTACACACAGTAGGGTTAGAATATTGGCCAAGATACTTGGGATAAGACAACGTCAAGTTCAGATGAGGAAACAGATGCCTCATCTCTACTGTCTCCATCTGGACCTGTGACCCAAGTTCCTCCTTCTGAGTCACAGCTGGAAGTGAATAGGGCGACGGTAGCAAGCCCAGAGCAGTGCCTCCTAAGGTGATGGGCAAGGCAACACTCACCGAGAGTTTGCAAATAGAACAGGAATCCCACTTGAAAACAGCACTGCTCCTCCCCTCTGTAGGGATTCAGAGACAATTAGTCTCTGTCCCCACTAATGAGAACACTGAGGCCTCCAAACCTGGTAAATATTCCCAGCATGAACCCCCTCAGGCCCTCTCAGTTTCATTTATTTTGACCCAGAAATCTACTCCACAGTTGCCTAGAACACTGGATTTCATTTCCATTCCATAAGGGGAAGAGGCTGTTGTCCAAGGGGAAAGCGTTAATGCTGCAGAATCTCACTGCTCCATAACATCTGAGACTGGTTAAGATCAGGTGGGTAAGTGCTGAATCAGATGGGCCAGAGTTCAAGTCTAGGCTTGGCTACCGACCAGTTGCCTCATTTGGGACAAATTACTTCACTTCTGTATATCTCAGTTTCTTATCTGAAAAATAGAGAGTTCATCTTATGAAGTAGTGAAATACAATGAGAGAAGAAGAGCAAGCATGTTTAGCACAGTGCCTGGCAGGGTATTAACAGTCTATACTTGTTAACTCTTCTTCTCGCTATTGTTGTTGCAATCATTGAGGTGTTTTGTAATTTATCCATAGCTGATAGATGCAGAGGAAGGATGGACACCAGGTCTGTCTTACCTCAGAGTCTGAACTCTTGAGCACTAAGTCATTCTGCCTCTCGTTACGGGGGAGAAGAAAAGACTCAAGAGAATGAAATTACACTGGAAAATCAGGACGCAGCTGCTCTGTCTTTCTGGAATGCCACACTTCTTGACTGCTCTTTTCTCCAACTTTGTTCCAATGTTCTCTCTGCAGATATATCTCAGTTTCTGTTCCTCCTACACAAGGCTCTCGTGCCCAGGATGCTGCCTCTTTTCCTAACTTTACAGGAACTTCAATTTCTGCACAAACTTATATCTTCAGAACCCAAAACGAACTGCCTAAACTCTGTATACCACTAACTCCATTTTGAAAAGACAGCCTAACTCGGTTTGATTTACCTGACTCCCTGGTTCAATCACCTGTGGCCGGAGAGCCGGGGTCACATTTCGTGCAACTCATCATCTTGCTCTGCAGCAACACTGGTCTTCCCATACTGGCCAGGCCCTGTATGACCTTGGGACCCTCACATATGCTGGAAAGTTTATATCCCTACTCTTCTCTCTTCTGCTCCAGATATAGCTAATTACTACTGCAGGTCTCAAATTATATTTAACTCTCTCAAAGAAGTATTCCCTGAACTCTAATCTAAATTAGGCCGTCCAATGATACTGTCTCAGTAATACTACCATAACTCTCCTTTTCAATACTAATCAGAGTTCTTAACTATATATTTTCTTGTTTCATTGTTTATTGTCAGTCTTCCCAAGTAGCCTGTAAGTGCAGGGACTGTGCCTGTTTCGATTAACCTTAAATATCCCGTGCCCACAGGCATTCCTGGCATAAGGTAGACAATCAATAAATATTTGAATAGATTAAAAATTACAGACATGGCTCCCTAGACCCACTGTGGAGGCATTCTAAAGGATAGGTCTACTCCACGTGGATGCATTCCCAAAGTATTTGATAAATATCTATAATACCCATGAGAAAATAAACGTTTGCCTGTCTTCGGAGGTGGAATTGCATAATGGATTAGCTTGCGGGTTTGGTAGAAGACAGATCTTAGTTTGAATATTGACCTGTTCTCTTATTTGCTGTGTGATCTTAGACTGGTCAGTTAGCCTCTCTGAGCTCTCTGTTTTCTTATCTGAAAATGTAAGGTAAACATATTTAGCAAATACATTGTATGGATTAAATGATAGAAGTCATTGGCACAGAGCAAACACATCATAAATGATTTTTATATCCACAACGCTGTAAATGGTCCCCAAAGTCTTTGCCTTTTTCACTCTCTCTCTTTCTAAGAATAACTCAGAGTTATCCATATCTCTGGCACCCTCCTCTTAGTCTTATGTGTCCAGGACATTCCAAGGATTCTGCCATTTGAGACATATTGTAGAGATCACTTCTCTGATTCTTTTAGCTATTTAATTTTTAATTGGCTCCTGTTATTAAAGGAAATCACCTTAATTCTTTGCTGTTTACTTCAGAGAATTTTACTATGTTTACCTCTAAGGGTGCAGCTGTAGGAGGGAAAGCCTTTTGCTCTAGAGCCCAGATCCACCCCTTGTGGTTCCTTGGGCAAGTCACTAAACTCTCTAAAACAGCCCCCAATCCACACACTTCACACTATCTCCCTATCCTGGTCCAGTATGTGTTTCCTTACTGGCCTCTCTATTTGCACTCTGGCCCCTACAATCCTTCTCTCCACAGCAACAGAATGATCTTTCCAAACCATAGGTCAGATCATGGCTGTCTGCTGCTTAACCACCCCCCGTGCTCACAGGTCTCTGAGTGGTCTGAGAATCTGCGCTCCATGGCTGTATATGACCTGCTCCTGCCTCCCTCCTCAACCACCTCTCCTATCTCCCCTCCTTTTCACACCATACTTGAGCCACACTTGCCTTCTTCCTGCTTCGCCAAGTACATGTGCTCATCCCATGTTTGCACTTACTGTTCCCTGCATAGTCCACTCATTCTTTACTTGGCTGGCTCCTTCTTATCCATTCTTCCATAATTAGTTCTTTGCTGACTGCTCAATGTAGTCTGCTAATTATAGCGATATTTTGTTTTTATTTAAGCACTTATTTTCTTATTTATGTAAGAGTTTGTTTATTACGTGACTCCTCTGACTAGAATATTATCTATATGACAGCAGGAACCTTGTTGTATTTGTTACCATTTTTTCTCTGGTACCTAGAGCAGTGGCTAGCACATAGTAAGTACTCTTTGAATGTGGAGTGAATAAATGAGTTAGTACTGGGTGCCTCATCAAAGGCAGATTAGTAAAGAGGTTAAGATCCCACACTCTGAAGTCAGAATTGCTGGATTTAAACTTTACCTCTGACTCTCTCTAGGAGACTCAGCTGTTTCATCATAAAATGGGCATAATAATAACTATCTCATAGAGTCCTTTCAGGATTCAATGAGATTAAGCACAGCTATTAATATTCTGAGTCCATCTTTATTTTATGCCTTTGTTTGCATCTAGAAAATACTAGGGCAAGAAAAGTTTTGAGGCATCCATTTTATTCCTTGGTTACACCAGCGACATGAAACCAGGAAACCACACCTTCAGTGCCTCTGAATTCCTCCTTGTGGGCCTGTCTGAGCAGCAGGGACAGCAGCCTCTTCTCTTCAGCATCTTCCTGAGTATGTACCTGGTCATCCTGGTAGGGAATGTTGTCATTGTCGTGGCTGTTGGCTCTGATCCACACCTCCACACCCCCATGTATTTCTTCCTGGCCAACTTTTCCCTCACTGACCTGTGTTTATCGTCTACCACGGTCCCCAGGATGCTGGTGAACATCCAGACCCACAGGCATACCGTCACCTATGCTGGATGCCTGTCTCAGATCTACTTCTTCCTGTGGTTCATTGGTCTAGATGTTTTCCTCCTGGCAGTGATGGCATATGACCGGCTTGTGGCTATCTGCCACCCCCTTCACTACGCCTTGGTCATGAGTCCCAGATCCTGTATCCTGCTGGTGTTCATGTCCCTAATCCTTGCTCATTCATACTCTCTAACCCACACCATTCTCCTGGCTCAGTTATCCTTCTGCACTGACAACGTCATCCACCACTTCTTTTGTGAACTTCTCCCCTTGTTGAAGCTCTCTTGTTCTGATACTTATGCCAACCGATGTGTGCTGATATACTGGGGAGGGGCATTAACCATCTTGATCCCCTTGCTAATCATCATTTCTTATGTCCGCATTGTGGCTGCCATTGTGAGAATCCCATCAGCAAGTGGGAAGTGGAAGGCCTTCTCCACCTGTGGGTCCCACCTCTCAGCAGTTTGCTTGTTCTATGTGTCTGCTATTGGGGTGTACTTCATTTCCTCCACTGCTGATTCAGCCAGCAAGAACAGGATTGCAGCAGTGATGTATTCTGTGGTGACCCCCATGCTGAACCCATTCATCTATAGCCTGAGAAACAAAGACATAAAGAATGCGTTGGTGAGACTCCTGAGCAGAAGGGCACTGCAATCTCCATAAGACCAATGTCATCATTTTGGAAATTCAGGGGAAGTAAACTTACAGAGTTATCTGGATACTTATGTCCAAATCCTGCATCTGCCACTTGCTAGCTTTCCAACCTAGGGCAAATTGAATAACCTCATTGATCCGCAATTTCCTCACTCATAAAAGGAGGTAATAAAATATTCTCTATCGTGCAGTGTTTCTGGGAAAGTTACAAGAAAAAAATATGTAATAGGTAAATTTACTTGTTCCAGGTCTTATGCTTAGATCTTCATTATCTTCAGCAATATTCAACACATGCCTTAGAGGAAAATATTTCCATTGTCCAGAAGAGAAAACAAAGGCTCAAAAGGTTAAATTACTTGCCTGAAGATAAACAGGTAATAAATGACAGAGCCAGAATTTGAACCCAGACATCCGAGTCCAAAATGCATATACTTCATGATTACACTCTGCCTAAACGGACATGAAATCCACATATTCCTCTCAATTATTAGTTTTCTTTTTTTTCTTACTTCCTTCACACTGTTCACATACACAGTTCTAACCAACAACTTCTCCCAGTACTAACGCATGATTTGAAGATGAGGCAAGGCAAATAAGAAGCTAGAGGATGGAAATGTAAACAGCCTCAGAGACGCTGGTTATCTCCCCAAGGGAGCACGCCCTCTGCTTAAGTGTTAAGTGTCTAGTTAGATACTCTGAAATGACTTATGAATCAAGCCACATAATCAGAGAGAAGGGTACTTGGACCACATTATTTAGGACTCTCATTAAGTTTCTTTTACTGAACCATCATTCTCATTACTATGCCAACAGTCTATATTTAGATCTATTTTATAATATAACTGTATCAACGGCATTATTGCATCTCCCCTAGGGATGCTGCTACAGACATATCCTCACAACCTACAGAGGGGATTTTTCAATAACCCACAGGAGAAATTTTGGAACCTGCCCTGCACTCTGTCAATTTATTCCCTATATAATTGTGACTCTACTGAGATTTCACTGATGAACTCAGATTTTTAAAATATTTTTTAAATTAAAATAAGACTTACATTGGAGTCAGAAATACCTGGGTTTATGTATTAAATCTACCATTCACTGCCTGTGTGACTTTCAGCAAGTTATCAACAGCCCTGAGTCTGAGTTTCCAAAAATAAATAAGTGAATAGTAATAGTAACTATAGTAGCTATCATCTAAGGCTGTTGTGAGCATTCATGTAAATGATAACACATGTAAAGTGCTTAGCAGAGAGTCTGACACATGCTGTGATCTGCAAATTCTGTTTAACACAAATCATACCCAATTTTCTCTTCTCTTCTCCTCTCTTCTCTGTCTCTACTCTTCTCTTTCCATTCTTTCCCTTCCTTTCTCTTCCCTTCCACCCCCTCTCAGAGATAAGCTTGACATTTGCCATTTTAAAGGTACAAGATGACATGTCCACCCACACCTTTGTCGTAATGAATGAATTTCTAGTACCTGGAAATTGCCTCGAGCTTTAAAAAGATATTGGGGATATGTCTCAGTTCTAAGCCTATATCACGGCCCTGGACCACCTTCTCCTCGAATGTGCATGTAATTGCAATTCTCTGCTACTATTCACTCTTTCTAGTGATGCCAACCAGGGTTACAATAGCAGCAGCAAATCCCTGACTTTTCCTGCTGCCTGAAGTCTAGCCAAATGTTGATTTCACCACCTTTTTTTGCTTTCTAGTGTTTTAGGATCAGTTAAATCATAAGCATGCACTGACCACTGAATTAATGGCCAGGGGTGACTTTAAGTGGCAGTTCCCGGTCTTCACACATTGTAAAATTAACATGAAGGAAGTTATTGGAGACCCTGAGATCAGGAGCATTAAATTTCCATGTCACACCACCTACAAAACAATAGCTTCTCATTTTCCTTTCTTGACATAAATCTATACCTTTCCATATTCTATTTCCCTTGCCTTGAAAAACTCCTATTTTCTGTTTTGCAATGACTGACGCTCTCTTCAAAACTCATCACAAATCTTACCTCCTGCGTGAAGTCCTCCTGGATTCATCTACCCAGAGGGAATTATTAATTCACTCCCGTGTGTGCCCACAGACTTTTGCAACCATCTCTATAAAACATTTGTCTCACTCTACTATAAATAGCTGTTAATGTTTATCTGTTTTGAGGCCATATGTTTAGCTGTTTGAGGATAGAAAATGTCTTTAATGCTGTAATTGAAAGAGTGTGGTGCTGGTGAATGAATATGCAAATAAACAACTGAATAGAACAGAATAAACTAGAATACCCAGAAATAAAAATTTAGTGTATGATAAAGACAGAACTTCAAATTGCTGGTACAAAGATGCATTGTTTAACAAATGTACTGCGACAAATGGGTAGCCATTTGGCATACAAGTACTAGAAGAAAACAAGGCAAATTCCTCTTTAACTTCAGTGTAGAGAACAACTTTAATTCAAAATCAAGAAGCAATAAAAATTTGCTAAATATGACTACATAAAAATTGTAAACTTTTCATGGCAAAGCAACATTGTAAACAAAGTAAAAGACGATTGACAAACTGAAAAAAGATATTTGCAACGTATATCACAAATAAAGACAAACAGCACTTTAACCAAGGGACCAAAACAAATATCACCAGTAATCAAACATATCAACACTATTTACTTCCTGATATGATATAATAAGAAGGATACAATTTCACTTTCGTGGGAGTTCAAAATGGTATAATCTGAGTTCAATCATGAGGAAACACCTGACAACTCCAAACTGAGGGACATTCTACAAAATAACTGTCCAGTACTCTTCAAAAGCGTCAAGGTCATGAAAGACAGACAGAAGAAGTATATAAAATTAAAGGAAATTTCAACAGTAAAATGCAATGTGTGATCCTAGATTGGATCCTTGACCTGAAAAAGGACATTACTGGGACAAGTGACAAACTTTGAATGAGGTCTGCTGATTATTTAATAGAATTTTATCAACACTAATTCCTTGATTTTGATAATTACACCAAAGTAATTGGGGGAACTTGTTATAAGGTATATGAGAATGCTTTTTACTATTTTTGCAATATTTTGCAAGTCTAAAATTATTTCAAAGTAAACAATGTAAAAAAATTAAACACAAAAAGCAAAAAAAAAGAAATCAAGAACAATAAAATATGTAGGAAAGCCATAAATACATGGAAATTAACCATCGCACTTCCAAAAAACACAAGTCAAAGAATAAACCACAAGGGAATTAAGACAATATTTCAATTTGCAAGATATTGAAAAGACAACATATCAAAGTTGACGAGCTTCAGTTAAAGCAGTGCTTAAAGGGAAATTCATCACTTTAAATATTTACATTGAAAGAGGGAAAAAAGGATCAAATAAATGATATAAGGTTCTGCCTCAAGAAGCTATAAAATGAAGGACAAAATATACCAAAAGTAAGTAGAAGAAAGGAAATAATAAAGATAAATGCAGAAGCCAATGAAATATAGTATTGATAAGAAATAGAGATAATTTTTTAGTTCTTAGAAAAAATCAACAAAATGGATAAACAGCTACTAGACTCACTAGGAAAAATAAAGGAAAACAAATTAATTATACCAGGAAGGAAAGAAGGATTATCACTGCTAAGTGATGATAAACTTTATGTGAACAAATATGTCATTTTGAATGAAATTGACAAATTCCTTGAAAAATGTGGGTATTCAAAACTGACACAAGATTCGACAGCTATGTGAATACGCTTAAAACCATTTAATTGTACACTTTAAAAGAGTGAATTGTATGACATGTGAATTATATCTCAGTGAACCAGTTACCAAAAAAATAATAAAAAGTGGTTTAACAGCAAACTGAACATACAGAAAATAAGATTAGTGAACTCATAACTGAATCACAAAGAGAAAAGAAATTGAAAGACAAAATATCACAGAGCCTAAAAGCCATAAGGAAGACACTCAAAAAGTGTAACATACACATGTGTGTTTATTTAAAATCCCAGAAGGAGATGATGAAAATAATGCAGCAGAAGCAATATTCAAAGCGATAGTGTCTGAGATTTTTCCAAAACCAATGACAAACATAAATTCACAGATTTAAGTCAAGTGAAATCAAAGCAGAGCGAATACAAATGAAAATACAACAGCCATATTATAGTCAACTGCTGAAAACCAAAGAGAGAAAACTTAAAAACAGCAAGCAATTAGTGTGAATGTAGCAAGAACAAAACTGACAGCTGATAGAAGTGGAAATATAAATGCCGCCACACCCCTGACCTCTGGTGGAATTATATTCAATAAGGTTTCTCAGAGGGTCTCCGGAAGGATTGTACAAAGTACAAAGTTACTTACAGCATAATTCACATGGAATTGCATCCTTCATTAGCTTTTCCTCCTTCTCTGTCTCATTTTCCCTTATTCGTGTTTCCTGGGATCATCTTTGAGATAATCTACCTGCATCAAAGTCTTTGTCTCAATATCAGTTTTGAAGAAACTCAAACTAAGGCATTTGGTAACAAAATTGGCTCTAAAATCAAACAAACATCTTCGGTATAGAGTTCTGAAATTGATTCCTTGCTGTTCAGATGGTAACAAGGACCACACAGGTGGTGATGAGTGGGCAGTAGTAACATCTAGTGTGTATAGCTTCACAATCAATAAGACCCTCCATTGCAGTGGATTGGAAATAGATAGAGGTAGAAGGAAAAGCACTAGATTATACAATACCTCTATCACTGAAAAAATAAAAGGTAAGTCTAAGAATTGTGAATTTAGTTTGCTTTTGTTCTCTTTCCTAGACATACTGAAGGACAATGACAGGCTCAGCTCAGCCCTAATCACTGAGGGCACACTGTGAAAGCCAAATGGCTTAAAATAAGCATTTAAAGAAACTGGCCAAAGTGCAGCATGTACTGAAAATCAGACCCAGACTCTTATCATAAGAGTTTGGGGAGTATAGCCCTAGAAGGTCTCCTATCCTGAATTCTGGGTTCTGATGGGGAAAAGGTGGAAATGTAAGACCTGTTATTTGGGCATTTGGATGAAGTACTTTGAATCCTCAGGATCCTTTAAATCTTACAGATGGATAGAAGTATTCTTCTCTCCCCTGGCAGAGAAGAGAAGGGACCCACCGCATGATTACTGTGAAAACGTTTTGTGGTAGATTTAGCAATTGGCTGTAACTGATTCTGCATCCTTGCAATGTAATTGTATCTCCTTCCATCAAGAAGTGAAATTTGCACCCCTAGAATATGGATTGGCCATAAGTCTTGCTTTTGCCAATAGGGCAATAGCAAATTTGACACAAGCAAAGATCTGAAAAGTGCTTATTGTCTTGACGTTCTTGGGACACTGGAAACATGTGAACAAGCCTAGGCCAGCCTGTTGTATAATGAAAGACACACGACCCTGTCTCCCTTCCAATGCTTCAGCGAAAAAGCAGCCAATCTCCAGAAGTAGAGCCACAAGTTTATGGGCTGCTGACTGCAGACACGTTAGTGAGCCTACTCAAAACCACTGAAAGAATTACCAGAGCTGAGCTGAATCTAAATTACTAACCTTGAAATGTAAGCTAAGTAAATGGTTGCTGTTGTTGTTTTCTAAACACTAATTTTGGAGGTGGTTTGTTACACAGCATTTGATAATTGATAAGGCTCTCTTCTGAGGTGGATGACAAGATGACGTTTGCCTTCTTCAAAATGCCTGCCTCATTCATTCTCTAGACTAATAACTTGGAATAGATTTCAGTATAGCCCCAAAAGGAAATAACAGTCCCAGCTACAGGAATATTTACCTTCCTCATCAAAAGGGGAGGAGGATTTGGCCAATACATGCCACTAATAACTGGAGGAATACAAATGGAAGTGGATCCTTAGGTTGTTGGACAAGGAAGGTATGGAACATAAGACTGGATAGGGTAAAATTGTTTGACATGGGACCACTCTCATATGACTCAGGAGACACGAACACCTAGAACCAGTTCTCATACACTGCTGGGATCATCGATAAGTTTGGTTATGGTGGTAGCCTACAGCAAATGAAATGAAGATGCTAGAACACCTTGGCAATTGAGGTGTTCTCAATTGGTATTGAGGAAGAGGTCAGAATCTCAGGGGTGTGGCCATGTTAGAATGGATTTATTATATGAGATCAAAGAACCCACCAGCTAACAGTGTTCCCCAAGAAGGGACAGAAGACACTCCCTTCACTAAAGCAATAAAGAACACACTAGTGAGGAGGACAACAGAATTACTGAAAGGTTAACTGGGGGCTCTCCTCCTGAGGACAGAATTGATAGAAAATGCTAACGTGGAGCTTGGCTCCCTGATATCAACAGGGATAAAATTATTCTGGAGTATCAGAGACCCAGGTGGCAGCACTTCACCATCAGAAGGAATGTGAATGAAAATACCAAATACCAAAATGTGCAGCAAGGCCAGAACTCCTATAGGGATCTGTTGAAATGGCTAATATACCATGGGATTTCTAGGGCTGAGATAGATGGGAAGCCAAAGAGAGTATTGCTTAAATTATATAACCAAAAAAAAAAAAATCAAAAATCATCAGTGAAAAGCTGATGGTGCTTTTGCAATAAACAATCATGATCCCTCACCCAGTTTTAAGACTTGAGCCAGCGTATAAGGGTGCAGCAGCAAGCCAACATAAAATGGAAATACTGTCTTTGGGATTAGGCTCAAGCAGGGCCATAGAGCACAAGCAGTAGGGACAGTCAGCCCAGATCCCCATGTCCTCCTCCTTGGTTTCAGTTTCCTTTCACTCAGCTCACACTGCTGGCCTGTTGGGGTGGAAAACACTTGAACCTGGTTCATGGATAAAATCACGGTACATTGTGATGAGCTGAAAATGGATGGATGTATACTGCCAAGAATGTATCCTGCCATATAAAACCCAGGAGTGACTCTAAACAACAGTTGTGAGAGACATCTTTCTAGTGGGCAGAGCATTAAGTAATCCCATTGCTTATCTTTTTTGAATGGAGGTAGAAGCACAAAGACAAGAATATAATAGACTCTTTGGAAGTGATGAATGCCTCACTCTGATAATATTGCTAGTGTAATTTAAAATAATGTATATAAGTAAAATAAAGTTATTCAGAGATAGAACCATACACGGTGGGTAGCAGGTTCCAAAGGACTTTTATGGAGAAGCAGAGAATTACAGCAGATAAAGAATAAAATATTGAGTTAGGTATAAAAGAATTAAACCAAGATTAAGTATTTAGGAATTTCTTGGTGCTTTCAACATGCTCCATCCCCCACTGAGTTTTATCTTAATATGGTAAATAATAGACTAGTTATTTTCATAGCCCATTTCATCTGTCCGTTTGTTGCCAGGAAAGAAATTCCACAAGAAAATTCTCAAACTTGATTGCACTAGACTTACCTGTTCTGTTTTGTTTTTATGAAAGATACTAGGGTCTCTTTTCTGGAAAGTTCTGGAGCTCCAGGAAATACTAATCTGCAGCCAGAATTCAAAAGCATTGACAGTGAAACAAAGGGAAAGATAATCACAAAGAACAGAATTGGCCAAGAGACTGTATGGAAACTGAACTGGGAAAGAAAAGGCAAGACCCACACACGGAGAGGTAACCACCACAAACACTTAGAAGGTTGGGCTGTAATGGCTTGAAGAACCAGCATGGCCTATATTGTAAATAGCCTGTCCCTATGGACTCTTCACTCCTCTTTCTTCACCAGTTCAAATGATCTCACACTTCAAGGACCAATAAAATGTCACCTCATGGGTAAAACTGTACCTCACCATCATTACGCAGGATTATTTTTCTTCCTTCTGTGCTCCAATACTTATTATGGTGACTATCACCATCTGATTTGATTAACACTAAGCTGAACATGTGTCTGTCTCTACCTTGTATAGACATGGACAGTATCTCACTCATTTTTACATTTTGCCAATAGAGCTTAGCACAGCGACTGGCACATGTTAGGCATCAGCGTACACACATTAGCTTAATATGAATCTGTCTCTTGATACAAGCATTAGGATTGAGGAGCAGGATATTAAAGCATGTAAGAGTTTGGACTCCAGAGTCAGACAAGAAACAAATTTCAACCTTCCCTTCCCCACTTACTGGTTATAGTTTCCCCATTTGTAAAATGTGATAATCAAGATGGTTATAATTGGGGAACTAAATGGCATAATACATTTAAAGAGTCAAGAAAGTAGAATAAAATATTAAGCTTTGTTGGGAAATCACCATGATTGCATCTTTATTGTAGTTAATTGCATATGTGTGCAACTACATACCACATGGAAAAGTGAATTCCGTAAGAGCATGGAATCATGCTCTTACTGTGTCCGCTGGCTGACACAGTATCTGGCAAATGGGAGAGACTAATAAATTCTGGTTGAATTGTATGTTAAAAAAATATTCATACTTTCATTAGAATAACAGCAAATAAATGAAATTTTAATTGACCTTCCCCCTATCTAGCTGAGATCACTCTACACAACACCAGGGAAATATTTACATTTATAATACAGTGCACATCCTTTATGAAATACATTGACTACATCCATTGTCAGATTTGGGGATTTAAGAAAATGATTTCTAGATTACTTTTCTCTAAAACCTAAGAAAATGTGATAGGGGATGATATTGCTTCATAAACGCATGTGTTCTCCAGAGTGTAACTTCAAAATATGGATGGATTAAAGTCCCTGAGAAGAGAGTGTGTGAATTCCAAAAAGCCTTCTCAGTGCAGGCTTCATATCCTTGTTCCTGAGGCTGTAAATGAAGGGGTTCAGCATAGGAGTCACAACTGTGTAAAATACAGCTGCAACCCTGTCCTTACCCCCTGAGTGTGATGAAGGAGGGCACAAGTAGACACCGATTGCTGCACCATAGAACAAGAAGACCACAGTGAGGTGAGACCCACAGGTGGAGAAGGTCTTTTGCCTGCTGGAGGCAGAGGGGACTCTGAAGATGGTGGAGATGATGTGTGCATATGACAAGATGATCAGGAAGAGAGGACCAGTGAGAATCATGGAGCCCACAGTAAACAGGGCTATCTGGTTGGTGCAGGTGTCTGAGCAGGAGAGCTTCAGCAAAGGGACCATGTCACAGAAGAAGTGATGGATGGTGTTGCCTGCACAGAAAGAGAGCCTAGCCATGAGCAGGGTATGTAAGAGGGCAGCAAGGTTGGTGAGAACCCAGCAGGCTGTGAGAAGGAGCACACACACAAGAGGACTCATGAGTGTGGTGTATTGAAGAGGCTTGCTGATGGCCACATAGCGGTCATAGGCCATCACCCCCAAGAGGAAGTCATCCAGTGCCCCAAATGTCATGAAAAAGTGCATCTGGGCCAAACACTCCACATACGATATGGTTTGATTATGTGTCTGGATGTTCACCAGCATCTTGGGGACTATGGTGGAAGAAAAGCAGCCATCAGCAAAAGAGAGGTTGGCCAAGAAGAAGTACATAGGGGTGTGGAGGTGTGGGTCAAAGCCGATGGCCAGGATGATGAGCAGGTTTCCCATCACAGTGACCAGGTACATGCCCAGGAAGATGCCAAATAGGAGAGGCTGCTGCTCTGGCCTCTCGGAAAGACCCAAGAGGAGAAATTCAGAGACACTGGACTGGTTGATTCTGTCCATGCCAACACTCTTTCTGGAAGGAGAGAAGAGAGATATGTCAAAAACTGTAGAAAAGGTGGTACTTCTAGCCCTCTCTAAAAGAGACACTTCTCACCTAATTCACATATGTGTATATCCCAATTCGCTGGACCTTCCCTCCAAGGTCTGCCCATTGTTACTTACTCAATCCACCTGGAAAAGGAAAGCAGGCAAGCAGAGAGAGAAAAATGTAAAAGCAAGGTGATAAGTACTGGTTGGAGAGGTTAGTTCCAGGTTATTTCCATCCTTACTCTACATTCACTAAGATCCACATTCCCTGGCTTCCAGGCCCTCAGCTCACGTAACACACAAGCAATAAGATCTGCCACTTTAAACCCTAAGCACTATACAATGCAGCATCTAATTAAATAATAATAAATTTTATTACATACATTTCACAAATGAGTTTTTAAAACTCACTGAAGTTAAGTCACTTGCACAATATCACAAAGAAGATAGTAAATACAAACTGGGACTCTGAAGCCGTCCCAGGACTTCCCATGTCCTTAAATACCATGCATCACAGCCACCTCTGAGCTTAACCTGTTTTCTGCGGGAGGCAGACATAGATGACTCACCCTGTGAGGGAGTAGTTCCCGCTGCTTATCTCAGGATGGTCTGAAAGACAGAAGGCATGGACACTGACTGGGATCTTTGTGGGTCTCAGAGGGAAAACATAACCCTGACCCTTTCTCACAGCACTCACCATATTTATCTGACCCAAACAGCATTTATTACCAAAGGAACTCACCCTTTTCGTACAGTTCCCCCTTTTAGTCTCAGAGGACCATGCTTCAAGCTCTCAGTGCTCTTCTTAGCCTACAAATGAGCAGGGTCAGAGGACTCAGGGCTGCTAGTTGCATTGAGCCGACTAGAAAGCATCAACCCAGATTACAGCGATGGATGTTAACTGTGCTTTGTGCTTGTTGTCATAGAAGTATTTCTAGTTTCTGGGGCTCTGGGGTATGATTCTCCAAGCTGATCCTCAGAGACAAGCATGACGTAATTGCTCTAGCTTCATACTTTGGCTTCCCAGGCCAGCACTCACCAAGGAGCACCCAGGGAGGAAGGAGTGCAGTGTATTGGTGGTTTTGCATTTGATAAGTTTTGTCCCTAGAGATATGTGTGTATCTCTATTCTTAGTGTGGTTGTTGATCTGGGGTATCTCCTGTGACAGCTAAAATCTGTGGCAGAAGGGAGTCAGAACAGGAGGTGGAGTACAGCCAATTTTTATTCCAAACCTGGCTAAAACATTTCCTGACCTCGCTACTTTGGGGCAGGTTGTTTGACTTCTATGAGCCTTTGGATTTCAAGTTTGTTATGAGAGGTTCGGGGATTGGATCGGAGATGTAAAAGACACTTTCCACTCCAAACAAATGGACTGAAGGTATATTTTATTATATAGAGGATAGTAAAGGCGAGAGTCTGCAAACAGATCCGAATAGGTCAAATATTAAGAGGGAAAAAACATCAGCCCGACTGGAAAGGGAAAACATCCACATCGGCTAAAGAGAAATCACACAAATCAACCGGAAAGAGAAACACCAGGTTGACCGAAAAGAGAACACATCAAATCAATTACTTCATATCAAATAAATTACTTCACATCAAATCAGTTACTCACAACATCCACGCCCCACTGCCGGGAAAGCCCTGTCAAGTGACGTGGCTGGGCAAGGATCACACGTCCTGGGCAAGGTGTCCCTTCCACAGGTGGAACTCTCACTGGGTCTCAGTCTCCAGCAGTTTATATAAGCAGTTACAGAGTTTGCAGAGCAAGCATCTAGTGTTCCCATGCACAAAATGGTTATCAGTGGCGTACGTGCCCTGAGCCCCTTGGCTAACGTCCCAGCCGAGTAGTTGTGTACGTGCATTGTTTTCTTTGGTTATCGTCTTAGCCCGGCACAGATGGCCAGTCCATCCCGTGCTACGACGCTCCAAGAGCCTTGAAATGTTACAACTTGCAACTCCCTCCGTGGGAGAAAAGCCAGTTCCCGGGAAAAGGCCAGTTCCCACCACACAGAAAGCAGCTTTGTATTTCTTTGTGTGCTGGTGGCTATAGGTCAATGGAGCGGCCAAACATGGCTGTACTCATGTCAAGACAAAGTTGTACTTAGAAAGGTGATTAGCTTACACTGCTGGCTCCCACCCATGAAAACAATCTTTGAGAAACTGAGATAAGCCAAAAATCTAGGAAATCAACAGTAATATTAAGAAGTGAGAAACCCATGGGGATAAGGAAGACAGTTACGAGCTGGAGTGTGATGTGGGGACAGAAAGCTAGGTTGAGACTTGGCATATGTAAGAGATCTATTGCTTGTCTGTGAGAGGATATTGGGGAAAAAAGTGAATTCAAGTCTGCTCTTGCCTCTCTTCAGTTTAGACTTCTACAGGAAATTCTTTCTGGATAGTGAAATTGAGGAAAGGAGATGTTGAGTGACTAGCTAAGTTGTTCACTCTTCGACTCTTCCCACCAAATACCCAGGGTTGAGGCACTACTATAAGAATACTTCTTTCAAATCATTTCTGTTTCATCCTAGTGGATTTAAGATAAAGACATGACACAAAAAGTTGGTAAATGGAATTCTAAAAAGCAGGAGAAAATAACTGTAGTTCATGATAAATGTAGCCTTCCCACTTAGGACTCATCGCACCTTCTCCTTAAACTCCCAGGACTGACAGGACTTTTGGTTCATCCCTTCTGCGCATTGCCAGAAAGAATATCCAATACTCAAAGGGGAATGTGAATTCACAGGACAATAATAATGCAACTATCTCAAAAGCAAAACAAGAAAGTACACAACGTAGAATATGAAAACAGAAGACAAATAATTTAAAATGCACCATAAATATAACGAAAGAAATGAGGGAAGTTAAGATCAACAGAAAATCAGAAAAACAGAAAAAGCATTAACGTTAGTTTAGAAAAAATATTACTGAACCAAAGAAAATAATTGATTTAAGAGATATCTGAAAAGAAACAATGTAGGTTTAAAAAATGGGGACTTGGAAGATCAGATTACAGAGGTCCTGATGTGAAAGAAATTAGAAAAGACAAAGAATTAGAAAATGAAAAGTTAAATCAGGATATAAAGTGGATTGAAATAGAAGTGTCAAAAACCAAGTAATAGAATGTAGGTCAGAAAAATGGTAGAGTAGGGATCACAGGGGCCTATCCCTCTGCAGAAACACTGAAAAACATGGCAACAAGTATCAGAACCAATCTGGAAGATAGCAAAAGGTTTACCGCAACCATGTAACATTTTATCATAGCCTTTCCCCACCCACCTCCCTGGTGAGGTGGCAGTCTTGAAGATTGCAGCCCATGTTCCTAGTGTGGGTACATAGTCCCAAAAGGAATACAGCATATCTTGTTCTTAAAGAATTGCATTTGGGAGAATGGCCCGGTAGCGCAAACGGTTAAGTGCGCACACTACCCTGGGGCGGCCCGGGATTCGCTGGTTCGGATCCCGGGCACACACTGATGCACTGCTTGGCAAGCCACACTGTGGCGATGTCCCATATACAGTGGAAGAAGATGGGCATGGATGTTAGCCCAGGGCCAGTCTTCCTCAGAAAAAAAAAAAAAAGAGGAGGATTGGCAGATGTTAGCCCAGGGCTGATCTCCTCACACACAAAAAAAAAAGAATTGCATTTGTCTGCTTTGACCTTTCTGTGGGTTCCCTGAAGGACTAATGCAAAGGGCGTGCCTTTGTCTCACGTAACTCAGAACTTCCTCAGAGCACAGAAGCAGCTATGCAGAAGGAGTTCCTTGAAAATGTTGAAAGCCAAGTAAACAAGCCACTGCCACCTGGGACAAAAAATAACAGGGAAAAAAATAGACATGCTGAAAGCCAGGAAGAAAAGCTGGAGAGTAAGCATCTTTGGGTAATAAGGGCTTTGAAAGTCTCCCACATATACTGGGAATCCTAGAAAGCCACACATATGCATAGAGAAGGACACACGCTCAGAAAAAACTTGAGAATACCATAAATGCTCACCTATGGCTAATCTTTAGATTCAGTACAAGCAAGAAGTAAAGGCTAAGATGGAGTAGTAAATGGTGTGGCTAAACATTGAGGGCCTCAACACAGTCAATCTGCAAAAACCTAGAGATTCTGGGCGCCAGCCCTGCAGTGTAATGGTTAAGTGCACACTCTCCACTGCTGGCAGCCAGGGTTCAGATCATGGGCACTCACCGATGCACCCCTTGTAAGGCCATGATGTGGCGGCATCCCATATAAAGTGGAGGAAGGTGGGCACGGATGTTAGCCCAGGGCCAGTCTTCCTCAGCAAGAAAAAAGAGGAGGATTGGCATGGATATTAGCTCAGGGCTGATCTTCCTCACCAAAAAAAAAAAAATCTAGAAATTGTTTTCATTCATTTTTAAATGTTTATTTTGGCTGCAGGCATTTAAGGAAATCTCAGTAAAGCAACTAGCTAACTACTAAGCTAAAGAAAAAGAGATTTCAGAGACTAACAAGGAATACAATCTTTACAATAACAGTTTAGAAAAGTCACCAAACAGATGGATACAACCCATAGAAAACGACAATGACAAATCCTTGAGAAAGAGGAGAATTTGATTTCCAGTGTTACCGTATCATACTACTAAAAATATCTAGTTTCCAACAAAAAATTACAAAGCATGCAAAGAAACAAAAAAGTATAGCCCATTCACAAGAAAAAAGAAATTAGCAGAAACTATCCCTAAGCTTGGTACAGATATTGGAGTTACTACACAAAGACTAAATCAACTGTCTTTAAATATATTCAAAGAGCTAAAGGAATGGAGGGGAGAAATATCTCAACAAATAAAGAATACCTAAAAAATGATAGAATTTTAAAAAGGAACCAAATAGAAATGCTGGAGCTGAAAAGCACAATTGAAATGATAAATTCACAAGAGAGGTTCAACATCAGATTTAAGCAAGCAGAAGAAAGAATCAGCAAACTTGAAGACAGGTCAAATGAAATCATTC